CCCCTTGGTATGGGCGTAATGCACGCTCACAGTTGCCTTACCCTCCCGGGTTAAAACCAATAAACAAACAAACAAACAAACAAACAAACAAACAAACAAACAACGTAGCCGCCCGAGCGGAGAGCAGACGATGAGGGCTTGGATGAGAGCGCTTCGGTGCGCGAGGCAGTCGGGGACTCTTTGCTGCGTCGCTGAGCATGACGTCGTGCCGGGGGTTGTCCTTGACTGCGAGCTTCCACCATGCTCCTAAAGGCCACGCAAACAGAGCAAAAAACTTGTAAGCTTGGAATTGTTGCATCGTCTCTTTAAAAAGCGTGAAGCAAACTTTACGCTTCTTAAAAGGACGATGCAACAATTTTTGTCCTTTCATTCAATACCGCTAAGAACTATTCCTTATTCCGTTCTGCGCAAGTTCAGTTGCAGCGAAAATGGGAGAAGATCGAGCAGCGTTCACCTCCTCAACTCGCAGTCAGAACGAGCGGCCTAACCACGCGTTAGGGTTTGCAAAGCGTACGGCGCGCAGACTTCCTGACGCAGTTCAGGTTCGGATATTGCCGTCATTACAGCTATTGCATTCGAACCACTATCGGAATACTCGTCGAGGCATTGATTGCCCCGAGGGCCCGAGCCCAAACCGAATGTTGGCGCACTGATCGTGTCCAATCTATGATGTGCACTTGAATATCATTCACCACGGTCGCCTCACGTCAACGATGAAGTTCACGACTATACGCCAGGAAGTTTCGCCAAGGAGAGACTGAAAGAGGAAGTCCGTTTTCATCATCAAAATTACACCGCGATCGAGAAGCTTCTTGATCAGTGGCGTCGAGTGCGAGCATACCTCGGTCCCTCTAGTGTCAGTAAGGTAGTGAGATACGCGGCATTTGCTGCGACCTCTTCGGAAACCCTTCCTGCGCACCACCGACCTTGCCGGTAGCAGACCGTAAACCCCCGAATCACGGCCATTCGGGCAAATCCCGAACGTGACGTCATGAGCGGAAGAACCGCGAGAGGTTGCCACCGAAAAGATGTGCATGCCGCTCACTCCGACAAGCCCGAGGTCAAGCCTCCGACATCACTGCACCGGCTTGAAGTTTGAACTGGGGGCATGGCAGCAACGGATCGGAGGACACAAAGGGAAGCGCGTTCGGAAAAGTTCGTGCAGTACGTCAACGGGACACTTTCGCAACCATCCCTACCTCCCCCCTCCCCCCCCCCCCCCCCCCCCCCCCCCGCCAAACGGGCGATCTGACGTTCACGAAAGCGTCCCAGTCACCGCCGAAGATTGCCCGGTCGCTTACTGCGCGAGCACTTCCGAACCCGCGCTGGAGGGAACACTCGCGAGCGAGCCACGGCGGCGCCTTTTGCGAGGCACGTGGAGGGAGAGCGCCGTAGAAAGCGACGAGCGTGAACTGGGACAGGTCCCACGAGGCTGCTGAAGAGTAGGACAAGAGCTCAGGGCGGTCAGCCGACAAGGACAGCGCGGCGCCCGCCGCCAGTGGGACAACCATCCGCTCGCTTGCGCCACCGGAGCTCGCCGCCGCGAAACACCTGTTGCCGCTACGGGCACCGCGGCGGCGGCGGCAGTTCCGAAGAGGAGAAAGCCTTCCTCCCCCCTCGTCGGTCGACTCCGCTGGCGGCGTTGGCGTCGGTCGGCGTTGCTGCAGCCGCTCGTCGTCGACGTTTTTGCGGCGCGCTCAGAGAGCACGTTGGGCACGTGCCTAGCGCAGCGGGGAAAACACACACACACTGCCGCCCTGGATTGGCAGCGCGGCGGCGTCGCACGGGAACGAGCAGCCAGCGACGCGGGAGGCATGGACAGGCCGTGACGGAGCCCCGCTCAGCATGAAGTCCAAGCGTGGTAAGTCCCTTTCTGGCCCGCCCGAGTCGACGAGGTCGGCGTCGCGGCATCCGATCCCGGGTTTGTGGGGGGGGAGATCGGTTTGCGGTTCCGTCGACGCAATGACGGAAATCGCCTGCCTTCTTTCTCGGCTATATTCGGTCGGTCCCCCGCACGAGCACGCAGCGCTGGAGGCGCCTGATGCGGAAGCGCGTGAATCGAAGACGCGTGCGTTCTTGCGATCGTAACCTTGACTGCTTAACCGCGTTTCAAAAAACAGGAAAGTTTTGCGGTTTTGGGGCGCCTTCATTGTGCCTTTTGAGGCAGCTTACATATCGAGAGCGTGAACACGCGGAACTCTGAAAGCGCGGCGGTGAAAAAGCGCTGACCGTTGCGCTTGGCGCCTCCGACCACGTGCTGGCGTGACAGGTCCGTCCGGTCGGTCCGGCCTGGCTTCCTTCTCGCTCTGTCAAGTTTGTCACAAACCGCGATCGCTTTTTTCAGTCGGAGTTTCTCTCTGAGGTACATCTTCGGCTCCTAATCATGCGAAATTCGATTTTGTTTCGCTTGCGGGCCACCGAAAACCGTGTGCGACGGACGAGCCGGCGGTGAGTGGTGCCGTGGAGCAGCGCCGCCACGTCGCCCTTGACAGCGAGCGGTGTGACGCAAATGCGTTTTGTTATCGCGTCAAACTGCGCCTCCGGCTCCGCGCCGGTTGGCTTCCTCGAGCGGAGACTGGATGTGTGCCGCGTGCGGAAGCGTTCGGCAGCGATCCGGACTCCTGGCCAAGCGAGCGGCGTTGCCCCCCTCCCGCGTGGACCTGTGCACGCTGGCGGAGACGTCCATACGAAGGGTGTTGCGTCCGGGTCATTCGAAAGGTGTGGAAGAACACTGCGATTTGTAGATGGACAGAACGTTTCTTCAAATTGAGTTCTATAACGCCTTTCCTTTTTTTGTTGACAATTTACTCCCACGCAGACTGACTGACACACAAACAAACCGAAAAACCTGAAGAGGCATATTTCTAAAAATTTCAGTACGAGGAACTGTCAAAGGACCGTTGTCACTTCTTGTTATTGCTGCGTTGATTTGGTGTGCCGAACGTACTCCTTGCATAACACGCCCCCCCCCCCCCCCCTCCCCTCCCTTCCTGAGCAGCTATATTGATGAGCATGCATTTGTAAAACGACCCCTTAAGGTGAGATCGAAATCACGATGAAGCATTTTTAATGTCCCTTAATCCCACGGATAAATTCGAGAGACAAGTCGCCGTGCAGAGTGTTTTTCGAGCGGCGCCTCGCGTTTATTTATGGGTTCGCGGGGGTCCGCTAACTTTGGCTGGCGATGTGTCGCCTTGCACATGTACCGTCACGTAACGGTTTTTCGTGACGCTCTTTCGCACCGTGCCACTCGCCTCGTGAACAACCGGCCCTAGAACGGCGTCAAAACTATTCTAATTATAGATGACGAAAACCTTCCACATGAAACGATTTTCTCGCGAAAGTATGCGCGATTTGAAGTATTTGTTATCGCCTTGGGCCGGTTTGCTGCCGGGCTCCTCGGGTTCCGCTAGCCAGTGAGAGCCGCCGCCTCGCGAGTTGCAGCCCCAGATTACACTTTGCCCACCAGCCAAGTTACGGGGAGCGCCGAGAGGCGCCCGACTCGCCTATCTCTCCGACCACGCTCTTTTTTTATACATTTCTTTTCGCTTAAGCGAACCGACGATTGTTCTTCGTTCTTGGCGGCTTGGGTGCACCTGTCGTAATATGTGCGAATCTCTCGTAGCCTCCGACACGCCCATTTTCTCGCCCCAAAATGCGCGTCCTTGTTTGTGCTCCAGCCGATTCAGCATGATTTTGTTGTCCACGTAATTTCCGCCAGATTTTGCTCCGCACGGGGGACTTCTGCCGCTGCCTCCACGACAGTAGGTTTAGCTTTCGGTTGATTCTGTCTCTTTTTTATTTTTTTTCTCTCGTTCTGCTCTCCGCAACATGTGCTGTTTGACGTGGCTGGGAGAAAAGGCGGCCGCATGAAACGCGCCACAAGCGCAGGCACACACGTACACACGTGTGTACAATGGGCGGCGCGGTTCGCCAGAACGCGGTTTCGGCGCACACTTTGAGCCTTTTACTCGGACAGGGTATCGGGGAAGCGCCGAGCTTTACCGCCTGTATCTGCTCCCTCGACCGAGCACTTTACACCACGCTATACTAATTTTCGCATCGAAAAAAAGAAAAGAAAGGGAGGTTAGCGCATTGTTCGTACGCCGCGCAAGGTATATTCTTACGACATCTGGTTGTCTGTGGAAGAGGCGATATGCTTTCGGTGTTTGAAAAGTGTACATCTTGATAAGATTACGTATAGATTATACAAAATGCACCCACAAGTATCTTTATTCTCCACATGAAGGGGGAAGCTCTTAATGCTCCGCGGGGAGCCGGACTTTTTTTTACTACAATTGCTGACGGGAAATCGTGTTTAGTATGCTCTATGAAAATGTTTGATTTGTACGAAATACCCCAAAAAATAAAATAAAAAAGAAACGGCTATTGCTCGTTTGTTTGAGCAACGTTCTCCTCTGTGTACTCTACATTTGCATCCGCACACAGACAGACCAGCTATTGTCGCTTATATATATCTATAGGTTATGTCCGTGCAACTAGATGTCGTCGGCGGTTCTCGCGATTGCACGCGTTCAACGTGATTTTGAATCGAATCACGAAATGTTTGAGCCGCGCGAGCGGAAGCACGTCTTACGCGACATGTCACGTAAACATTCAACGGGCCGACGCATGTACTATGAAGGTGTTGCGCTGGGTTACAAAAGCGCAGAGATGTTCCGACGAGGACACGCAAAGTTCATCCACTCCCTTTAAAAGGACGCGCACACTTGTCCGGATTGTCTTACGGTGCTTCGAAGACGGCCTCTCACATTCCTTGCGCGTCATTTCGCGGCTGATGTGACATTCCCGCTTTTCGATCGGCTCTGCTCGAGGTTTGCCTGATTTGGCAGACGGTTTATCTTGGTCCATCGGCTGGAAGGACTGGTTAGAAATATATTATTCTTTTAGCCGTCTGCAACTTTGAGATTACTTACGCTTTCAGTGCAATGGTGAAAGGAGTAGTGACTGCTGGAGTGGTGCGTCTGGGGAACGGTGTTCTATACACACCCCAGACCTTCACCACTCCACAGACTGAAAGGATGAGGTGTGGTAACTAACTGCTCGCACTACTGAGGATCAGATCCGAGCTGACTCACTCGTCCCGTTCATTGAGTGTTGATCGTGGTGATGGCGGGTTGACTGATTGGGGATGACCATGTCGTTAATCTTTGGCAAAACCATATATTCGCCTGCTCAGAGACGCGGCTCATAAATCCTTTGAATTGGAACGACGCCCCCAATTGATGTTGATTCAGCTCCAATCCACGCTCCCACGCGACTCCTTAGCCTGATGTGAGCGATATATCGATAGTCATACACACCGTGTGCGTATAGGACTCAGCTGGACGTAAAACAGCCCGGGCATTTTCTTCTTTGTAGCTTTTTGTTTTGTTTCTTGCTCTTGTCCATTTTTGCTCTGACGTCGGAGGTGATTCATAGCCACGAACAACGATAGCTCGTAAATCGTTCTCAAATCGGCTCAAGCCCATTCAAAGTGAAGATTAAAAAAAAAAAAAAAAGCTTGTGTATGTTTATAAAGCCTAGAACTTGGCCTGCCTCAACGGGCGTCGAGTCTCCCAACTGTACATGAGAAATTCAGCCAGTGCAGTACAACCACTAGCACGGGGTCTTTAACGTGCTTCAGGCAGTAGTGATACACGGCCGCACGCCGGTACGATGCTCATCCAGATCGAAACGGGCAGGGGCCAAGGATTGAACCCAGGATCCCTGGGTTCTGCAGCGCGAGCTTTCGCTCCACGTGCTCCGAGCTGGTGTGTGCTAGACCACTCGCCCACCGATCCCTTAAAGTGAAGAATAAAACTGAGTCACCCTGACCAACAGTAATGGGGAATCCAATATGGAAAGGGCGAGAGTTAATGAGACAGGAAAAATACTTTTTTTTTTCTTTTAAGTTCCTGCGGCTGAACTTCCAAGCGTATCGCGGTTCACACGATCTCGCAGTTTAGGCTATTCACGTCGTCTCAAAGACGTCCTCCGTGTAAGCTGGACGCAACCTTACGCGAGTGTAATGTTTATGCAATCTGTATCCTTCTTCCCGCGAAAAAGAGCTGTCTTCGGCGGCTCCAGTTCGACTCCCGAAACACGTAAACACCCGTAGTGCAACCGTTGGATATACACTGTCAGAACAAAAAGGTGTATTGTTACACCCTTTGTCCCATATAATACACCCCAAATCTTCAGTTCGAATTACAGCACACTGACGTCGACCTAATGGGAGTAACTTTCTCGAAATGCTTGATTGCCGTGTGGTACAACTTATAGCTAATGACTACAAAAGAAAAAAAAAAATCAGGGTTTTTTTCGGCCTTACTGCAAAACCTCAGTGTTTTCTTTCTGTGGTCTTTGATACGTACAGTCTCCGGCAATATGAAAGACCCACTGGGAGCGCGTGGCCGAGGCGGTGGCTGGCGGGGGCGCCGCGAGCGCTCCGGGCAATTCCATTCTGCTTCGAGGGGAGGACGCTCACTCGGGGTCAGCTAAAGCGAAACGCGCTTATCAGATTGTGCTGAGCCCCGAGTGAGCGTCCTCCCCTGGAAGCAGAATGGAATTGCTCGGAGCGCTCGCAGCGCCCCCGCCAGCCACCGCCTCGGCCACGCGCTCCCAGTGGGTCTTTCATATTGCCGGAGACTGTACTTTAGCTGTTTAACAAGATATATATGGCACCGTTATCGAGCCCCTCGTAGAATGTGGGGCCGTCTGTTCGACTATAGGGCGCTGTACTGAAGTTTTGGGGTGCATTATAGGGGACAAAAGGGTGTAAGGTGACACCGTCGAAGTGAAGTTTTCGGGTGCATTATATGGGACAAAAAGGTGTAAGGTGACACCGTCTAAGTGAAG